CGTTTGTTGTCCTCTTCTCTCTCTCTGCCTACGGTTTTACCGGGCAGTTCTGTTTGTGACGATATATATATATATATATATATATATATATATATATGACGATATATATGACGAAACAGTTTGTCACAGCCCCTCGTTTGTTGTCTTCTTCTCTCTCTCTGCCTACGGTTTACCGGGCAGTTCTGTTTGTGACGATATATATATATATAGGGCGAAATGTTGGCTGCAAACTTGGGAGGTTGAAGACAACATCAGATGAGATGCATAATTCCATTGCCATCCACTTGACGACCAGTTGGGAAGTTGTGCAGGACCCGAGAATCTGGAATTACAAATGTCAGTTCGGCTTGAAAATGATGGCAGGACCATCGCTGCTGAAATTTGTGTCCCAGAAAAGGCGACGGTCCTTCCGTCATTTTCAAGCCGCTGAAATTTGCAGATTGCCGCCTGAGTAGATGTGGGCAGCATAGGCAGTCAGCCACTGGAGACTGGAAAGAAACCCGCTGGTTTTAGATCTTGATACAGCTGCGCTGCTACGGCTGATTTATAACGAAAGACAAACAATTGTAGAGGCGAACTGGTGAGTGTACGATTGTGCACCGAATCTCCAAGTGTAAGTGAGAGAAGAAAATGGGAATGGAAAGTAGTCCGAAATTTTTCAAAAGATCAAACAAGACGGGTAATGGCCCAGGCATTTCAATTTTCAATTTTCTATGCAAATTGAAAATTGAACTGCCGGGGCCATTACCCGTCTTGTTTGAGCTGTTCCCATTAAAAGGTCCATGGGCTGTTCCCATGGGAACAGCTCAAATCTATTCGTGTTCGTGGGGACGCTGGGCCCAGCTCCCAGCACGTGTTCGTGTTGCTCCCCATGAATAGATTGGAGCTGTTCCCATTAAAAAGGTAAATGCCAGACTGTCTTAAACCACAATTAAACCCGCACCCGATTTTAACGAACCTGAATTTCACTGCGCACCGAGTTTTGCCGAGCCTGTGTCCCGTTGTATTTTCTTTTGTCGCACTCCTCCCAAACTAACAACGTGAAAAAGAAACAAGAACCAAAAAAAAAAAAAAAAAAACGCAACAACCCTATGGACAAGAAAGCAGTTGGATACAGAATCGGGGGTCAGTGTGAGAGTATGCCCTCAGTGTGGGCGTTTACAGCTCGGCGTCCATCACGGATGTTACTTTCGGCAATGAAAAGCAAAAAAAAAAAAAAAAGCAGCAACAATATGGACGTGAAACAGGTTAGATACAGAATCTGAGTTTATGCCCTCTTTGACAAGTTGTCAGAAGTCCGTGCAGTGTTCCCTGCCCCGTGTTCATCACGGAGGTTCCTTTCTGAAATGAAAAGCAAAAAAAAAAATAAAAAAAATATGGATGTGAAGCCGGTTAGATACAGGATCTGAGTATATGCCCTCTTTCACAAGTTATCAGAAGTCCGTGCATTGCTCCCTGCCTCGCTGGAAGGGAGCCGAAAAAAAAACAGAAGAAGATACAAAAAAAAAAAAAAAAAAAAACCTAATACAAGCCATAGGTGCGGTTAGATTCGTTCCTGAGTGTTGTAGTGTGAGCACACCTCCGTCAGGGCCTTCCCCGACGTCGTCTCAATTTGCAGTTTCTTTTTTTTTTCTTTTTTTGGGCGCAGTTTCTTCTTCTTTTTTTTTTTTGCATGCCGACCCTGCCCCGACCCCCGATCTTTTCGGAACGAGTTGTTTTCAATGAATTTCTTTTGCCTGGGCGGTGTACTTGTGGTTTAACCGATCCTTACACACCCATCAGGAGTATGGCTCTTGAGTGTTGACAGTTCACAGAATCCCCAACGGGTGCTTGGAGGCATTTTTTGGCCTTCAGTTTGGTGGCAAGTGGGCACGAGCCACAACTCGAGCCTAAGGTTGGCGTACATCCACCTATACACCCCAGTATCCACCCATCCACAGTGGGATTTAAGCCACCAGTACTTCCAAGGCACTTTTCTCCGACCCTTGGACTATCCTGGGCGCCAGAAAAAAAAAAACTGGCACGATCTCCTTTCGGCTGGCAACGCCAGCCATTTCGCTTCGGGAGGCTGAGAGCTGCGGCGCGTGCACAGAAACGCCCTGTGGCTGATGTATAGGCTAAGTACTGTGGTTTAGGAGGTCACCCACCAGATATACACACTAGACCCCTAGCCTGGCCAGCCATCCCCACCAGATATCCACACAATCAGCCACTCACACAGGCATCAACACGTCTGCCCAACAGCACGTCATCCAGCAACCGAACCACCTATCAAACCAGATGCCCATTGAACAGCCAGTACCTTTCTCAGCTGTCGACGCCGAACCTAAATTTGAACTGCCCGAGCAAAAAAAAAAAGAATCTACGCGCCCTCGAATTTGGCTGGCGCCTCCTTCCATTTCGCCCGGGGAGTGCCGAGGCTGACCGTACTGCGTGGTTTAAGATTCTCAGCCAGCAGCCCAGCAACCCACACAGTCAACAGCTCAGCCACCTACGAAGGCATTTGCCCAGGGGGGCTGCAGAACAGGGCTGGTCCATTAAGCAAGGGTCCTCCAAGATGGGATGGGTAATATCAGCAGCTCCATGGGAAAATGGAGAGGCCCGGGTTGAGAAGAGAAACGTCCACAGCGATAGGAAAGCAAACAAGCAAACTCCGTGCCACAAGATGTTTGAATGGGGCGTAGGGCCCGGTCTCCCAGCATGGGGCAGGACAGGGGGTACAAGAAGGGAGTTTCAATGGAGGGGGTTTAAGGGTGGGTATAAGGCATAGGACTGCAGAAGACGGCAAGAAGAGTAGCAGCAATCATCGGACCTGATTCAGGTTGGCGTGTGCAGGGGGTTTAAGGGAGGGTTTAAGGAAAGGAGAACCGAAAGGAAAACAGCGGCAATGGATAGATAGGCCACCCCCTTGGGGCAGGAGAGGGGGTACAAGAAGGGAGTTTCAATGCAGGACAGGGTGGAGAAATAGGGCGGGGGGGGGGGGGGGGG